AGGAAAGATCCGCGAGATAGTCGCACCATTTTCAGAAGAGAACGTGGTGGACTGTTGCTCTTCATCCACAATGGACGAGAGCGTCTTGAAGAACGACAAAAAGAAACGGTTCGCTGCTCAAGGCTGGGATGCCTTAAAGGACAGCCCGTTCTATGATGTTCTGTGGAAACACCGTGATGTGTTTCCAGCAGAAGTGCCGATCCACCTACCTGTCGATAGGGTCAACAGGCACGAAATTTGACCTGGTACCAAATATTGTGTGACCAGGCAATGGCCGTTTTCGAATGAAGCAAGTCGATTACAACCCTCCGATTATACTGACACAGCGTACAGCAGTTGCTTCAAAAGCGCACGTACACTAACGTTTGCAGAGTAAGCTTTTTACTTCTAAACGACACGCTAAGAAGTAGGGAAAAGAGAGCTGTATTTAAAGTAGTCAATCTATCACATAAAGTAATCTGTTTAGACCTTACGTTAGCTACATTAGAATACAACTATGCATGTCAAATACTTGCCCTCCACTCATTGCGTGCCTCCATCCTTATTAGCCCGCGTGTTAGCTGAATTCGTGGCCTATATCAGCTAGTAAGAGATGCATCTCTAACTTCAAGGAGATGCAACAACAATATTATCTAAAGACGTAATATTTGTAACTATTATTATCTAAGATGACATTCGCATTCGCTCTTAATATTAGTGCCAATGTCATGTAACGGGCTCACTCCGTTACCTTACCATCCACCATCATCAGTCACAATAGTACCTGATTAATTTTGTGACTACATCTGGAAAGGTAGACACTGTTGATCAGAATTATTTCTCAACTGACAGTTTTTAACACACAAGTACAAGTCCATGCGTGTTCCGAGAAGGCAGCTGAGGTAGCGGCTGCACGAAGAAATGCAGCCATCGTTGAGGCTTCAGAACATGAAGCAGCAGGTGGTCTATCGTCTCCTGCTGAAAGCCATCAGCTAGCAACATCTGTTGCAGCTTTAAGTGGATAAATGCCACGTGAAAATGTTGACCCAAAGTAAAAGGTTACCCACTCTGGCGAGTCAAAGGACTTATTCGTCTTGAGGACGCGTGCTACGCTGCCTGGTTCGCCTAAAGCGATGGCTCCTTATTTAAGAGGCGGGGCAAATTGAATGAATCAATGTGCCGTGAAATATTAAGATCATCTACGGTACGTCTTCCGAGCCAAGTCAAAAGCCACGCTCGGCTATACACGTTAAACGTGATGTCGGTATTTCGATTGATATCTGCAGGAGGACAAACACCGTTGTATCTCACATGTCGCTCTTAAGCTTATATGTGGATGCTGCCACTATTTTGACTTGGATAGATGGTCTGAATAGACCAGCGATAGTAATCAAATATTATTTTTGAATTGGCAAGGCTTCACGGCCTTGACTTCAGTGCGACTAACTATCACACTAAACATTTTTTCTACATCCATGTTGTCTTCAAACATCAATGGTACAGTGCATATTACAAACGTGAAGGCAACGCGCTGTTGCAGGCTTGGAACGTGTTCATATACAACGTCGAGTGTGTTAGACGCGAGGCCTGGCCAACTAAACTTGCTTCAACTAGAAAGCGCATTAAAAATCTCCCAGCACAATCAGTACAGAGGAATGTGTAGTGCGGTGCTGAGTGGTTTGGTGGTGTAGTGATATGGTGCTGTTTTGTGTTGTCAAGACAAAAGTTATGATGTGGTAGAAATAGTAAAAAATGTTTTAAGGTTGTGATGTGATTGAAATAGTAAAACGTGTGGTGCAAATAGCAATTCCCTTTTTAATATTTTTTTCCGCCTCTGTCTTTTCCGTCTGTGTTATAGACGAAATTCTATTAGAAAGAATGGTGTCTAAGAAATATTAGTTGAAATGTCATATTGACTAATTAATCAAATGACAAAGCTTTCTCGTTGCAGCTCAGTAAAACAAGCTATTATACCAGCGAGATCCCAAATTAACCAATAGTAAAAATTATTATGTTGAAACAATTATAATTCTTAACCTGAGGTTGGCTTAGTAATAGAGTCTGTGGCCATAGCGGCTTTCATGTAATTATATACATATCAAAGCTTTTGGCTAAAATGCAAAGATTGGATGCGCGTCTCTTTTCTTGCGTGGCGAGCTTAGAGAAATTTAAGCTCGCTTAGTGAAGTCCGTCTGTTAAGTCATTTGATGACGCCTATCCCAGCTGGGCGTCATCCCCTTCAATGCAAATTTACCTGGTGTGTATCATATACACAAGGGCGTGTCACAGGATGTGTCTAACCAAAGCGGCAGGTCTATGTACACACGTACTAATGACCTCCCCGTTATGTACCACGCTCTAATGGGTGCGTGGACCGTTACAAACGTAGTCGTGTGCATTGGGCCTTCCTCCATATACGTAGACCTTCCGTAGGAATAGAGCTCGAAACTGGACGCAAAAGCTGTGTATGTCGTTTTGCTGGGCTACTCCGAGCACTACTATGCATATTGATTTGAGGAACTGTTTAGTTATGCATTGGGGTGGAGTCGTTACGTGCAGTTTGAGAAGCATGTATTCGGTAAGGAACGACAATGCGAGCAAGATCGTTGTACTTTGAGGCGATGATGACAACAAGACAAGAACGATGCCAACATGGAGTCGGAAATGAAAGAAGAACAAGAAAAGAAGCAGTAGACAGCGACGTTGGCGTCAAACCTGGTACTAAGTGATAGATCGCTAGAGGAAGCAACGGAGGCTCCGAACGTCAAGCGCCACATTCCGAGGGTATGTCCACAGTTGCAAGTGTCAATAAATGGTTTAAAACAGCCCACGTCGTCAGTGGGGAAAAAATTCATTGCTAGGGAAAAGTAGACGCCCGTCATCATATCCCTATCTCGCCGCTTTTTGTTGGTAACGACCGCTCGAAGGACTTGTTTGATTTCCTTGCTTCGTTGACGGACGTCCCTACTTTTGTACACTCCTGTTTTGCTAAATGATTCAATCTGCGAAATAGGTCCGTCCGTCAACGAAGTAAGTAAGTCAAACAAGTCCTCGGAGAATTTGGTTGACTTCCTTGCTTCGTTGACGGACGTTCCTACTTATGTACACTCCTGTTTTGTTTAATGGTTCAATATAAAAATAGGTTCGTCTGCGTACCGCCCAATGGATTCAGCCTCAATCCATAGTGCGGTTCGCAGACGGAGCGAGCTATCCACCAGGTGTCTCAAACGTGCGCTCGGTATTAAACCGCACTCTTTTCCGGAAGCTCCGGTGCCATTCGAGATAATGCTGTTTGTTTATACAAGCATCGATCTCGTCTATTCACAGAAACCCTTTCTAACGTCATACCACATCCTGAAGCTAAAAGAAGTAATTGGATATATAAATAATTACTAGGCACCTAAATTATTTAGCAATTACAGAGTTATGGGTACGGTTATCGACAATATCCATAATCCAACACAGGTTATAACTTGTCGAAGTTTGGGTTATGTATATAAGAAATAGAAGCGCAAGTAGACAGGCGCCAGCCCCAGGGTTCAGACTGCTAATAAGAAAATAAGTCACAGGCTCCATTGTTCGTTTGGCCCGTGCCCAAAGGTGTAAGACACGTCGTCAACTCGTTAATCCTGTGCAGATAGTGAGAGCTATATGTTAATTTACAGTGTTTAACAGTTACTTGCCTACTCATATAGTTGAAGATGTCGCAAAGCTGGAGCAGGAGCTGAGAGACCAGCTGAAGCAGGAGCTGAAAGACCAGCTAGAGCAGCTGTGTGTCCAGGGTCCCATGACGATTTTCCAGCTTCTCAATCCCATCGAATAGGATAAAATTGCTTTGAGGATTAGACACTGGGCTTTCCATAACCTACCTATTGCCCAGTCACGCTGAGATATGCAATCTTGATGCTTCCTTTTGAGAAAGAAGTAAATCGTCGATTTATTACTTATGACCATACGATATCAGTATGCTAAAACCAGAAATACATTAGTCATCTCCTAGCTGGCTCAGTATGCTGCTCAGTATGCTGACTCGAGACGTCAGATGTCAAGGGGACACTTCGCATAAATAACGTGGAATCAGACACCTAGTCCGGGCGCAGACAGGGCTACGACGTGTCGAAAAAGTGCCCACCGTATCATTCCCGATGGGTCTCGATGCACCGAGGCTGGTCTGATAAAGTCACGTTCTAGGTAATTCGCTTCGTGGGACTAAACTTCGCGCTCGGCGACCGGCCAGTGACTGAAAGGCTGACGGAGAATAGCATAAATTAGACAGGGGTGACAACCACGTTCGCTGTGCCCCTTACCCCAGTGTCTGGGTTGTAGCGTCCATTGCGATACGCACGCTGCGCTGCCTCTCGTAGTTAACGCAGTGGAAAGAAAATCTCCTCTTTATCTTCTCCCCATTTAGAGTACTTTCCGCCTTGGGCGATAGACGCTTCCTCAGATACCATGTCGTCTGGCTTGATAATGATTACACCCAGATGAACAGCTCATTGAACTACTCTTTGCCCAATTTTTACCCTTTCGCAAAGATTTGCCTAATCGTTGTATCGTCTTCGCTGCCGTGGCTATGGTGGCTGAGGTGGCTTAGGCGGCTTTAGATGCATCGTCTATCCTCTATGGCCTTGTGAGTATTTCCAACACGCTTCGGCTGAGAGCTGCACAAGTTCCCGGTTTCCAGTGCTAATGTTGCGGACCAACACTATTGTAGACGCGGCTCCGACATTGCTTAACTTTACAACTTCTCAACGAAACGGGACGTGTCGGTCGCGTGCACGACGAGCGCAATCATGATCGACAATTAATTAAAAACTAATTGTCGATCATAATTGCGCTCGTCGATGGAACAGCCAGCACGACAGGGACCGTCGCATAGCGATTATCATGTTGTGGTTTTCCACAGATGGGACCCCTAGACGTACAGCCACTCGTGACTGCGCTCGCATCGTCATTTGCTCACTTTTCAATTTCCCAAGTGCATCGCAGAAGACATCGTCGGCAAGGAAATTGTTGTAACAATGCTCCAGTTTTGGTTGGCAGCTGTGTACTCTGCAGCAGCACTTGTATCTGCAGTATCCGCCGATGACAGCTACGATGCTCAAGCTAAAGCTATCGTCGACACTTTCTCTCACGCCCAATTGATTGGCCAAATGACTCAAATAAATATTGGGGCCGTCATAGATTCGGAAACTGGTGGTCTTAATGAGACTGCTGTGCGTGAGAATGCCGAGCTCTTCGTCGGATCGTACCTTAACACGGATTGGTCCGAACCCTATGAAGGCAAGTACGGCTACAACGCAAGTGAGTTCCGTGAGATGATCGGACGTATCCAAAACATCACCATGTCGGTGACCGGTGGTCAACCTATTATCTACGGCCTTGACTCCGTTCATGGTGCCAACTACGTCGACGGGTCTGTTCTGACGCCCCAGCAGATTAATGCTGGTGCGAGCTTCAACCCCGACCTTCTCTACGAGGCGGGTCGCATGACTGCTCGTGACACCCTTGCTGCTGGTATTCCTTGGATTTTTGGTCCGATCCTCGACATCTCGCAGAACAAGTTATGGGCTCGCACTTACGAGACATACGGTGAGAGCACGTACCTGAGTACGGTCATGGGAGTCGCTCTCATCCGCGGAATCCAGAGCCAGAATCAAACTGCCGCTTGCGCTAAACACTTTATCGGGTACTCAAAGACGGCCACTGGTCACGATCGCACTAATGTTCTGATATCGGACTTTGAACTCCTGAACAATTTTATGCCCCCGCACTTGGCTGCGATTAATGATGCTAACGTGCTGACAATAATGGAGAACTACATTTCACTGAACAATGAACCAGTGATCGCTAACAAAAAGATACTGATCGACCTCCTCCGTGGCGACCTCAAATTCAATGGAGCTCTTGTTTCGGACTATAATGAGGTCATGAACTTAAACATGTGGCACCGCGTGGCCGACGACTATGAAGACGCGACTATCAGCTCTTTGACGCAGACGTCGCTTGACTTGAGTATGATGGATGGCACCACTACGATGCCTGGCACTAGCGTGGTGAATGAAATTAGCTTCATCAATGCCGGTCTAAAGCTGCTCAAGGAACAACCAGATCAGGAGGCTCGAATCCGCCAGTCCGTCGAACGCATTATCAAAACGAAGCTGAAACTCGGCCTCTACAAGAATCCGTTGCCCGGCGCAGAACTTGTGTCGATGGTTGGTAACGAGAAGGACAAGGAGCTTGCACTGGAGATGGCTCGCGAATCCATTGTGCTGCTCCAAAACGATGACAACGTGTTGCCTCTGTCGAAGAAATCGTCCGTCTTCCTCACGGGTCCTTCTGCAGACGACGTTGGTTATCAGTGCGGCGGCTGGACCAAATTCTGGCAGGGCGTGTCTGGCAACGATATGTTCCCGCACGGAATTAGTATTCGAAAGGGGCTTGGAAACTTGGTTGGCAGTGATTCCTTTTCCTACTTTAACGGTCTGCTGATCAATGGGTCTATCTCGAACGCAAATCTGACTAAGACTGTGGATCTTGCTGGTCGGCACGAGTACACTATTGCCGCCATCGGTGAACAAACTTACGCGGAGAAGCCTGGAGATATTGACAACCTTGCACTACCAAAGGGTTTTGAGGAATTCATTGAAGCTTTGGCTGCTACAGGCACTAAGGTGATTGTGGTGTTGCTCGAGGGTCGTCCGCGTCTGCTTGGGTCGATTCCAGACAATGCCGTTGCTGTAATCGATGCTATGCTTCCGTGTGAGCTCGGCGGGCAAGCCATCGCAGAGATTCTGTACGGCGACGTGAACCCGAGCGGTAAGCTGCCGATCTCGTATCCGAAGGACCCGGCCAACGTCGATATCCCATACAACCATCTTGTGACGACGCGCTGCGCATTCGACTACTGCGAAATGCAATGGGACTTCGGAACAGGTTTGAGCTACACGAATTTCAGCTACTCCAACGTCACTCTGGACAAGACTTCAATCACTAACGTGCACGACACGCTTACGGCCACAGTCACCGTCACGAATGAGGGCTCGCGCGCTGGTAAGGAGGTCGTCATGCTGTTCCTGATCCAGCCGATCCGCAGAATCTCGGTTCCGGAGATGAAGAATTTGAAAAAGTTCGAGAAGATCGAGCTGAAAGCTGGCGAGTCCAAAAAGGTATCGTTTACGCTGTCGTATGATGATTGGAGCGTATACAAGGGTGAGATTGGAGCTGGTCTACCGAAGATAGTGGAGAGTACCAAGTACGTGGTGGGCATCGGAGCAGACACCGATTGCAACGTGTATGGCGACCCCTCCATCAAGAATGGTCTTTGCGCCCATTTCACCATTGATGCGAGCGGCGCTCCGGCCATGTAAGCGTTGGTGCTTGGTGTAATCTCGTAGAGCCCTGAAGAGGGGTACAATCCTACGTATGAAAAGAAAGTTTCATCAATAAACTCAAGTTCCTTGACGCAAAAGTTTGCATTTGGTACTCCTTTATATTGTAGAAACTACCGTTAGCACTTCCAATACGATTCTCATCTCATCACGTTGTAATCAATTAAGATTATGCCTAGAGTCCGTAATTATTGCTGATTTCAATTAAAAAGATGCAACAAGTACCATATCATGTTGTCAGGAAATTCTTGTGAAAGAGAATATGGTTTCTAATGGACAGATGACAGTTGGTGATCATTACGAAGAAGCAAAAGAACTAGCCACCAAATGGTAAAGGCGTTAAGAAACAGGTAATGGACCATGGTAGCAATGATAGGTTTGCATTACAGAAGAACTTGTCTAGACCTGTTTAGAATTGTATTGCATTACTGAAGAAAATAGATTCAAGAGCATCTCACATCTTCGTTACAAGGTTGAGCTTCCATCTACAGCCCTAACTATCCGACCATGGTGCGCTTGCGGCCTCGCATACGAACTTGAGAAAGCTTCTGAAAAATTGAGTCAGAGCGACGGGAAGTCGCGCGGTACGCACGCAGCACCTCTTCTACCTGTTAGTCAGACACGAAAAACGGAAGAAACGTCAGCTGCTGTCCTTCACCTCGAATAAAGACGTTTCAGTGAACACACCAAGAGCTCCGAGTTGACATGTGTGCTAGCAAACGCGCGCTCCATGACATAAAGATCGACGGCCTTGTCCTCCGGCAGCGGTTGCGAATTAGCCAAGCCAAAGTCGATCATCGTCTGCATCCCACCATAACGTAATGCGCTCTGTCACTCCGCATGTACCACATCCGTTGCAACGTCATTGCTCTGCATCATGTTAGACGTCGTCAGGTCACCATGGACAATATCAGCGTCGTGCATCTTGGCAATCACCAAGATGCCAAATGCACGACGGCTGCAGCAGGTGGTTTTGATGTTCTAATGTCTACAGCGTAGACTCTGTTTTCATCCAAGCAAGAGAAGAGGCTGCAATGATCTGCGTGCACTTAAGCTGTGCTCAATTATTATTATTATACGAAGACTCTAGCGAACCACTTAACTATTCCGAGACAGTGTGAAGTTTCTGATGAACGGTCGTCGTACTGATCTTTCGTCGTGTTGCTTGGTCGCCTACATCTAACAAGCAATGAGAGGGATCACACACCCCAACGTACAAATAGCACTCACATCGTGGGTCCCATTTCCAAGCACATAGTGAGCCGCAAGCTTATTCGCAACGAACTACAGGTAATCCGGAAGGTTTAGGCCGTCCGAGTTGTACATACACTTCTCCATATCATCTGTGTGGTGAAGGGAATATTATAATCGTGATATTTCTATTATTAAATATGGAAAGAGGAATATTCCAATGTGATATTCCTAAAATCGATCAAGCCTCCAGTCGTCGAATATTGATCGTTAACTTCTGACCGTCGAAATCTTCGCCAAACTAAACGGAAAACAGCTGAGTTTTGCGCATCGAGCTTCGTTCGTCGAGTCTTTGCTCGCTGAGTCTTGGCTCGTCGAGTCTTGGAGAAGATAGACTGTTCTTATACTAGTTATTTGTATAAGGGAGACAGTGGAATAGCGAAGAGCCACTGAATAGGCTCTCCGGAGTAGAAAAAGAGATAAATCAATACAGAGCAGAATCATCCAAGTCAAGGACACGTGTGAAGTTTATGGTAAGTCCCTGCAAGGGGTTGGATTATGCCTGCCGCCGAGAGGCATAGCTTGTAGGAGTATCGACCGCTGGTAGCGCCAAGAGTATAAGTCGGCCCGGGTGGGGGCATTGCTCGCGCATAAGAAAAAGAAAATCTCGTCGATCGTCGAGCCGGTGGGCCTCAGCCGAAGGCATCGTAACCCTTCTAGTTGGGGCGTAAACTGCGCCCGGTGACCTTTAAAAGCGCTACAGCGCCGGCGTCCACCCATTGGTGCGAGCTCACAGGATTTGAGAGAACAGAAGCTGCTGAGCTCAGGCAGGCTTCTGGAGAGTTGGATGTAGGGACTAAGCTAGGGCGAAAGACGCAACTGAACCGAAGAGGCAAACACGAAGGGAGTTATTCCTAACGTGTTAGCTCAATTGCGCCGGCTTACTCGGCGAATTGATGTTTTATATAATTAGTCATACCAATAGCTGTTTATAATAATCACTATATCACATCTGCATTGTCCAAACGTAGAGAGTCAATTGTTTCACTAATTCGAAATGGTTTGATGTCTCGATCCTTTACATGCTCACGTCAGGTGGCCGGTCAGGTGGCCGGCTTTCCTTTCCGGATCGTATCCTTGCTTTAAAAATCGCCACCACATTAATCAATATAAATATTTTATTGAAGTTCTCTTCGATTGCTATCTGTTATCTTCTAACAGATTAGCAATGTCTTCCATACTGGATCATGAAACATTCCAATAGGGACTTCCACTCCCGACGAGTCGATCAGCTATATCAGTTCCGCGCTGTATCCGTTAGTACAACGCCATATACGAGACGCATTTCAGCTTCAGGAGCTTGATCGCGCAAGAAGTCCAAATTTGACTTTGCTGTACCGGATGCTGGCTTGACCTACATCTCTATCTTGTTCAGTGTCCTCCTTTAAGTATGCGATCGCGACACGGACTCGTTGCGTAATAAATTCACCGTTGACATTGCCTCTGAAGCTACTACCAGCGGTTCTCTTAGGTCTTCGAATCCCAGATCATGCAAATGGTAGTTGTTAGATCAGCTATGACGCGATCCAACCGAATCCATCTTCACAACCGGAAAGTGTGTCTTTTGAGGAGTGGTGTGGACCATCGATCACTTATCGATCTGCCGAGCTAAGATCCGTTTATCTTTTTCGTACTCTACATTAATGTTTGAAAAAAACGAGTGCAGCTTGCCCTGATCCAATTAAATTTGTTTCCTTTTCCGAGTGTGAGAGAGATTCAAATTTTTTATTCACACGGTGATAAATATGAGCTAGATCTCTGGAAAGTCCTGAGCCAGGATATTAGCGCCGGATGGCCCGACTTTTTATCGTGGCTGGCCACCGTAGAACTCGGTGGCCCTCTAGGGTCGCGCCCAAGCAATTCAATGCAATCATAAAGCAAGGCACTACATGTGGATGACGCAACTATTCGACGCTCTACCCTTACGATTAATCGGAGCTGACAAAGGCACAAAGGCCCAAAAATGGGCGATGCTGTTGGGAATGTGGAGTGCGACATCCTTGAAGACGGCTGCATTCCAATCTATATAAATCCGTGCTGGGCATATCGTCGCGAGGAGATGCCAAATTTGTGTCCAGACGCGTTCGGCTTCATTGGCGTCATCCAATAATCGGTCCACTAGGATTTTCGTGCGGTACTCGGGTATGCTGTTAACTCGTCGACTAGCACAGGACCCCCAAACGTTTTGTGTCAATTGACGAATGACAACTTTCCCGGTCCAGTGACTAATGAGCTTTTTCCAGAGCGCTGCAGCGCAATCACATTTCTAAACAGATGGAAAATGGTCTCCTTCCTGCCGTTGCAATCCGGTGTCTTTCTGCAACTATTGTGTTCGATTGTCGCGTCGCGATATAGATTTAATTGTTTATGTCGCCACCCAATATTCTGTACAGACTTGATATGGAGTAAGACCATCCCTATGATCCCACCTTGCACCGGCGTTTGCTGGAGCGCTGCGCTTTTCCATTTATCCGTCGTTGCCGATTGTGAAAGGCGATCAACGAGAACCGAAAGTTGACGAGCGACAACTTTTTTGCGGAACTGGAAGGTTTGCTTGCCTAAGGCCTTCGTGATAAAGTGATTCGACGTTGTGTCCGGAACAGATAAAGAAAAACAGATAAAGCTGCGGGTGTGCCTCGAATACAAGACCCCCTCTTCAAATAGCGCGACCAATCGCCTGTCGGTCAGATGGCAAATCGTCAGTGAGCTCCGTCAATAATCAATGACAAAACTAGTGTATCCCATCATCAGCTTGGTGCGGAGTGACGGGGCGGGTTGGCTATTTTTGATCTCCATTAATTGGCCTACGATTATGCCTTCACCGAGGATCCTCTAGCGATAGCTACCACCGTAGTAGAGGTGTCGAGTGCAATTCTGTCCCGATGGGTAAGTCCGGGGATAATAATAGGAGGTCTGTTGCCCACCGTCGGAGTTTTGCATCCGAATGGGGACCAGGTTGACACAGAGGTATTGGCACCCGCATAACAAATTTTGCTGGCCCTTTACGCAAAATGCGAAGGTTCTCGAGGTTGCAGTCTTCAATCCTGTTATATTGGTCCTAGACAGCATGTTGCCGTTATGGTCTCTAATCCATGGGTTCGAACTCCATTTAAAGGTGTCGTAGAGCCTCTTTATTTCTTTCGGCATATCATCATACCCCAGTAGGTGGTGAGGAAAGGGTCAATGAGCGACAACACCAATTTGGTCCATCTCACCAGCTGGTGACTCGGTCTAGTAAAAGCAGTGGAGCGAGCACGGATCCACGCGGCCAACTGGTCTTATTGGTCTGTGGTCGGGGAGAGCCGTTAGCCCAGCTCTTGCTTCATTTTCCGTCCTGACAAGCGTGCTCGACAAGGCACTGCCCGTAGTTGAGCCTGAGCCGGAGTCAAAATTGAATCGTCCGGCCCCTTACTTCCCCGAAAGCCCATACCCGCCAAGCAGCAAAGTATTTGTCCGATTTTTGAGTAAGCCAAGCCACCGTATGCTTTATCCGTTGTGTTTGACCGCTACCAATACAGCCACTAGCCCGATGCCTCCCGCGCTGAGTGTAACGGGAATGGACGACGGTTATAACATCATACCGAAAGTACAGCATGTTAAGCGATTTAATGCCGATCCTTTGAAAGGGTATTATAGATTTGCGATATTATAAGGTATTAGTAATACCTAATACTATCGGTATCAGTTTCATAATTGATACAGTAGTGCTAAGTACAACATACACTCAAGATTGAATGATTTCATATTCAGATACAAGCAATGGCATACTATGATTATCATGATATTAATTAATCTAGTGTAGGGTACTTAGAGTAGGACTATTAATAAAATCTTAATGCATAAATAAAAAAAGTTCTCCTTTTGAACTATATAAATTACGGCTTGAAGACGCTTAGTTGAGTTTAAGATCGCAAGTCGTTCTGACTTGTTCTCTTGTGCACTTCGTGCGTTGGTTTTCTGAACCTTTAAGCTTCTAGCTTGTTCTTGCACTCTGTGCGTTGGTTCTCTGAACCTTAAGCATATTGCTTGCCGACTAAAGGTCTCTCTCCTAGTTCCTTAGAACAGGGTGACTTCTTAGTCGTATAATTATTTCCTTAGAACTAAGTGGCTTTTAGCCTTGACTCTATTTAGTTCTCTAGAACTAAGAGGATTTCAACCTAAAAGTCTTCCTCTGGCTAAAGAGCTGTGCATCTCCGCTACACTTGGTAGTACTTGTAGGCAATCCTACACCTGAGTCTATAAAGACTGACCCTCTGTAAGGATGGAGAATTAAAATCACTTCTCTGAGGCGCAACGACTCGCGCTAGTAAAATAATCTGCGTTCGTTAGGCCCGATCAAATCGAGGCCCCTTTGGCCCAAGGCCCGGAGGTTTTAAATGCTCGCCTTGAGGCCTTTATGTGTTATGAGGAAACGCTACTCGGGCAGGTACACGACCAGGCAGGGTCAGCTGCGCCAACGCTACACATCCCGGTACCTGTGCCCGATGCAGAGCCAAAGGATTGCCCACTCGTTTTAAACGTAAAGACCCTCGAGGGGAAGGAGGTAGATAATAGTCTCCTCTGGATCCGAGAAGTTGAAATGGCAATGGTGTTACCATGCTTGTGTTAGATAAGCAACGAGCTGGCCTGGCCATTTCGAAGCTCGGTGGAAGAGCTAGAGAGTGGGCTCTAACGAGCGATGTCTCTGTAAATGCTGCATTTCCCACATGGGAACTGCTTAAAAAGCAATTAGCTTGTGTATTTGCACCGCCTAATCAGGCTTATCGTGTGCGCTCACGCTTCCTAGCTACCCGACAGGGTAAGAAAGAATTGTCGGACTATGTCAAAGAGTTGAGAACTCTCATTGCTGCTATGCAGCAGGACCCACTGGCAGAGGAAGTCCGAGTAGCCATTTTTATGGAAGGACTTCGCACTGGGGTCGCCAGGACGGAAGTTTTCCGTGTCCAGCCTTTGACTTCTGAGGAGGCAGTAAGCATAGCGTTTAACGCAGAATTTAATTTTAAGT